CATCACTTTTTATTATGCAATTAAATTCAGCCAGATGTGTGAGGCTATCTAAGCTGAAAAAGACTGACAGTTCCCTTGGGCATTGTGAGGGGAAGTTGAAGCAATTCTTTATGCAAATACAAGGCAGACTGAATATGATTAATGCCATCATAAAGGTACGATGTGGAGGAGACTGGCAAAAATGTAATGTTATGGAGACTGTATTGAGTTGTCCGTTAAAAATCCATGTCCACCTGGAATCTCAGAATATCACCAGATCTGGAAACTGGGTCTTTGCAGATGTAAAGACACCAACTCCTCATTTATCAACTCTCTCTAGCTGACATTTTGCATCAACAGTCAGAGTAAAAAAATCTACTGTCTGACTAATTTGTGAATTAACAATGTTCATTTGGCAGTGACAAAGGCCAAGGTGTGAGGAAAGGATAATGTTGAGTGTGATGGTTAAGTTCATGTGTCACCTTGGCTGGGCCGAGAGTTTGCCAGTTATGTCAGGCTGCAATTTGACAGTGATGTAATGATGTAACGTGACACTTATGTAAGGATGTAACCATCCTCCAGTTTGTAACCTAATCTGGTCATCCTCCATTTTTCTAATACTGCTGATTTTCACATGACGACTTGGATTCGAATTTAACCATGTCAATAAGTGAGAAGTGGATAGAGCTAAGACTCTCCAGGCGATATCATACTAGATTTTGGAGGAGTCCCTAAGCCCAATTACATGTATCCTGATTAAAAGAGGGAACACACAGGGAGAATACGATGTGACAGTGGAAGCACAGGTTGGAGTCACGATGCATCTATAAGCCAAGGACTTGGACTGCAAGGCTGGTTGGCAAGCACTAGCAGTGAGGAGAAAGGCAGGGCACAGATTCAGCCTCCAGAAGCAATCGGTCAATCCTGACTTCATCATTCCATACGTTTGAAGCCACCTCATCTGTATTCGTTTTTAAGGCAGGCCTAGGAAGCGAATTCAAGGACAAAGGAAAGAGAAAGCGCATCCTCTTAGAATTGTCTGAAAACTTGTCAGAGAGAGTCCTTGAAAGAATTGTAAACGTTTGGCATCTGGAGCTTGTGGATAGAGTGACGAGGATTCCCAGATACAAGAGGAAGAGGAAGAGGATTCCCAGATACTATAGGAAGCGCAGTGGAGACACAGGCCTCTGGCATCCGGATCTGAATCTAATACGTATGTGAAACCAAAAGCTGATTGCTGTGGATTTGACTCCATCCCACAGAGACTCCACAGACCTGAGCTCCACGGGGCTCTCGCTGGCTGCTTGTTGTTGGTTTTTAAGGCCTTTCTTCTGAGGTGCCTCTGGGTGGAGTTGAACCTCCAGCCATTTGGTCTGCAGATGCGCACCCACTATCTGTACCACTCAGTGGTCATGGTATAAGGGTGCTGGGGAAATGAAAGGACTGACTTCCATTGGTGCTTTCAAGCAAGACATGGTGCCAGCGTGTTAGCAGAGAAGAGAATCGCAAGAGGAAATGCTAGATGGGGAAGGGAGAGTGGTCTCCAGTCACGTCTTGGGTTCATTCCACCTTTACACTGTGCAATTACCTTTTTATCCTCTGCAAATGCACTGCCATCTAAAGGCAAGCAGGCAGCTTACCTCTGGCTCCTTTAGAACCCCCACTCCCTCCCACTGCCGTTTTCTGCCTACATCCCAACACACCAACACACCCTGTAAGGCTCACCATACCCCAGTGCTTGCGCCACGAGCCTTCCGTCAATAGTTAGTCATTCACTAATTGGCTTCACACACATCTGAAACCTTTAATAAGCCCTGGCCCAATTCCTGAAATTACAGGTTGTGCTCGCACAGAGTAGATAGCTAACCCTGGTCATGGGAAGTAACGTTCCCCGACTGGAGAGATATCTATTGGTGAAGAATGGGACACTTTGAAAGGGCCACAATATGAAATGATAATGGCACAAGACCTCTTTAAAGGGCTGAAGAGCAGGGATCTTACTTTGAGGACTAAGGTGCGCCTGACCCCAACCAGGGGCTTTGCAGTCGCCTTATAAGCATGTGAAAGGGGAGCATTGGATGAAGATGACCGAAGAAGAATCAATGCATTTGAACTATGGTGCCGGCGACGAATATGGAAAGGGCCACAGACTGCCAGGAGAAGAAACAAATCTGTCTGGGGGAAAGTTCAACTAGAATGCTCCTGAGAAGTGAGCATGGGGAGATTTGGTCACACGTGCTTTGGACATGTTATCAGAAGCCAAACCCCCAAACCCCACTGCCATCAAGTCAATTCCAACACATAGCAACCCTATACAGGGCCCAGGACGCTGTATAGCTTCACAGAAGAAGAGTGTCTCTTATTTCTCCCGTGGAGTGGCTAGTGGAGTTGATAGGCCAATAATTAGGTTAACAAAGGCCCCCAAGAGTACTGCCAGGACTCCTGGCAGGAGAGACCAGTCCCTGGAGAAGGACCTTATGCTTGTTAAAGAACCGGGTCAGAGAGAAAAAGGAAGGCTCCCTGAGCTGGCTTAAAGAGTGGCTGCCATCAACGATTCCCTGGGGGTATGACGGGAAGAGAGGGAGGGAAGGAGGGGA